CATTGAAACAAATCCAGAATGTTTATTTTTAATTGACTTTATTGGTACTTTTTAAGTATACAGTACAGTTATAGTCATCATTAGGATCTTGTACTTTTACGTGACAGATCTTGGTTCTCACTTTTTCCTCACACCCCTGCCCTCCCTCCAGAATGTTTCTTAGTACAGTAAAATTAATTTAGAAATAGCAGAAATAAATTTATGGAAATCTTAGAATATGTGCAAATTAAACAGAAGCTTATAAATAAATAACAGATCCAAAAATAAATCAGCAAGGAATTTAGAAAATATTTTGGATTAAATAAAAATAAATTCACAAAATGTAAATATTTATAAATGCAATTAATATAGCTCCAAGAGGAAAGTTCATAGCTTTTTTATGCCAATTCTAGAAAAGAAAAAAGGTATCAAGTAAATAACCAAAATTTCCACTTCTCAGAAAAAGTATATGAAGTGAAATTATTCTGAGCAAGATACCAATGAAAATCAAAGAGAAATCTATATCAAAGTTTAAAAACAATAAAGAAGTCAGTAAGACTAAAAACTGGTATTTTGCAAAGGTCAACAGAATTTATCAACCTTTTGCTAAACTGACCAAGAATAAGAGAGATAAGACCCGAATTACAAAAATCAGGCATGAAGGAGGTGTCATCACTACTGCTATTATAGAAATTAATGTAAATATAAGTATATGCAATAAAATCAGACTGTTGAAATGTGCTGACTGGAGCTCTAGACGGCGCAGATTATCAAAACTATCTTTTAAAAAAATAAAAAAGAAGAGATCTGAAGCCAGTAAAGAAATTGAATTAACAGGACAACTGAACCATGATCAAAAAAACCCCAAAAATCCTAGGAAGGGTAAAAGAGAAGTCCAGCTCACACCTTGAGTGGCATTCTATATGTCTACTGACTGTTTTGCACTACTGCGTTTGTGCTGTAAGAACCATGCCTCTCCGGAAGCTGCTGGCTGAAGGGGATGAAAGAATGCAAAGCAGATCTACAAAGTCAATGCACAGCCTCGAGTGACCTAATTCAGTTGAATTTTGATCTATAAACTTTCATGGGTGTAATGTTTGAGGTTTTAATTTCTTTAAAGTTTTTATTTTTCTGTCCAGAGTCCACTCAATGACTTCTCTATCCATAGCCAAGCTGTTTAAATTCAAAATTAATAACCTATTTTTAATAGCTAATTCAGTTTCTTTATTGGCTTTGGGTCTCTTCTGTTTTCCATTTTATAAATTAATTTTATTGGTATATATATTTTAGGTGTACAATATCATGACATTCATCATTTGAAATTTGCACCTTTACATAATCTATCTTGGTTCTTATTTTTCCCCCTTCCCTGCTATTTCTTATTGAGATAATTTTTCTGAGGAATCTGTCCATTAGATCTGAGCCTGACGAAGGGCCCTCTCCAATATGGACGATGAACCCATGAATGAAAAACAAAACATTTATTGTCTTCAGCTATTGAGTTGTGGGGTGGTCTGTTGTGAAGCACTATTGCAGTTATAAATGAATAGTGTACAAGACCAAAAAATGCAAAGAAAATAAAATCGGAAGATTTAGCATCCTTTTATTTTTTTTTCTTGTCCCTTCTTTTTTTTTTTTTATTGAGTTTATTGGTACAATCTAGGTATACAATACAATTACATTCATCATTGCGATTCTGTACCTTTACATAAGAGGTCTTGATTCTCATTTTTCCTCTTGTCCCTGCCCTCCCTTCACCCTCTCCTCCCCTCCCCATTTACAATCACTTTATTTCCATTTTTTCAGTTTCTCATATTTTTTTCCTCTCCCTTATTACCTTTCCCCCACCCTTCCCACTTTCCCTGCACGTTTAGCCCTTTACTTCTTACTTCACATTATTAATTATCTCATTAGGATCCTATGTACTATTATAGTTTTTCACACCAAAGAAACTATTCATTATTTCAGTTAAAGAAATCTCTGTATGAACATTAAAAATAGGGAATCCTAAAATAAAACTAAATATGAAAGTAAAAGAGAAAAGGCAATGATGTAGGATTTAAATAATCCTTAATTCTGGAGATGAAAATATTTAACGTATTTAAATTGCTTCTTGCTCTTATAGTCTTATCTTATTCTTTTCTTCATTATTTAGAGAATACTTTGTTTCTGTAATCAAAACCACGTAGATATGACCTTACATATTTAGTACGATGTGTTACCCCTGTACACATGGAAAAAAA